CGGCATCTCGGGGTGCAGCAGGGACCGTGAGATCGGCAGCCCAAGGAACAGCAGGGACCGGGGCACCGACATCCCGGGAACCCGGGGTACCGGCGTCCCCGGGCATTGCAGGGACCATCACCCTGGGGCGCGGCAGGCACCCGGGGCACCGGCATCCTGGGGTGAGAGGGCAACCGGAGCAGCGGCATGCGGGGGTGAGCAGGGATGGGGGCACACCGGAATGAACGGGGAAGCGAGGCACCCACATCCTGGGATGCTGCTGGCACTCGGGGCACGGGGACTCTCCTCCCGGTCCCTCTGCAGGCGGGTGTAGGAGAGTTTCTCTCCCCGAAGCCTTCCCCTGGCGGGGGCTGCACCTCCCGGTCCCCAGGGAACGGGGCAGGGCGCGGGGGTCCCCTCCGGAGAGCTGTGCACCCACTGTGCGGGACCCGGGAGCGCAGGCTGGCACAGGGCAGGGCATCATCTGCAGCAGGCGCTGGGCTGCCCGCTCGCAGTAGAAAGCCGAGCTACGGGTGATCACCACCCCGCACCCCGAAGCGAGCAGGGAGTCCCCCCCGCCTTATCTGCATGCCCAGCCCTGGGCATTTTGGTGGCCTCTCGGTGTACAGCAGCAGCTTACGCGCTGCCTGCAGGGAGCAGCCAGCAGTGGGGATCCCCCTTCCATGCCTCCCCCCGCCTGCCTCGCAGACCCCCCCACCGCCGAAGGAAGCGCTTGGTTCTGAGCATCCTCAGGCCGGAGGGTACAGGGACGCTCAACGATGGGGACGGGGCTCTGCTGGGGCGCTTTTAGATGACCAGAAAGCAAGCGTCTCCCCAGTCCTGCCCCAGCGCATGGGTGATGGGGACACCGTCCTGCAGGAGCTGGGAGGTCAGCCAGCCCCGCTCCTCCCCTCAGGTACCCCGCGGGGGACCCCCAGCCCCACCCCAGCCCCATGGGCATCCCGCACAGGACTTCTCCAGCGGTTTGCAGCCACCGGCCCTGCACCCCTGGGACGTGCAGGGTCACAAGCCCCGGGTGACAGGGCGTTTAGGACTGGGCTACAGGCAAAGGATGAAGGGTCTCCTCCTTCTCTACGCATTTCTAATGGCTCATTTGAGACAAGCCACACGACTCCCCGCTGGGAAGCCTCGCTGAGCTGTAAGTACAGGGTTTTTTATTTGGACCGTTAATCTAAATCCGTTGTACCTGGTTGGAAAAGCCCCTGTGTGCAATACTCCCTGCACTTGCTGCATCCTCTCTTGAATGTCTATTAGCATCTTTCTTCCCACTCCCTTGGGTCTCCTCTGCCAGTTAGAATAAATATACATAACTTCCATTTGAAAGCCTTTAAAAAAAATACGTTGTCAAGGGAAACTCTTCTAGCATATCTTACAGATATGCTTGATCTGTTTTTATATTTTTTACTGTCATAAATGCATATATCAGAGGGGTTTTTTCTCCACAAGATACATATTCATTTGAACGCCCAACACCCAGCTCACACTGGGCTTGTGTAATTCTGATGGTTGTCTCCTTAAAATAGCTTACAATATATTTCAAAATTTACCAGAAAGAGACTGGCTTTATCTGTTCTATTTTACCAATCAATTATGGAAATTTTTCTTTAACTAAAGGAAAATTTTGCAAATTCACATTATTGCAGACAGACACATTTGTATTCTCTGTCCGTTGCGCTTTAAAATAAAAAACCACCCAACCTTCCTAAAGTAAGCTTCTGTTTCCCAGCAGATACCCCTGCAAATGTGAGATGGGCACAGGCTTTGATGATCCAACAGGGGAGATCATGCCAGGTCTTAGTTCAAACCTCAGTTTTGTTCTAAAGCTGAGCTTAGCTAGTCGTGAAACGAGTAGGCAAAAGAGTTATAAAACTATTAATTGCTGCTTTAGATTCCTAGATGAAAGCTGTACGTGGGCAGAAATAATTTGCTCTATTCAGAAGCCAACATCAGAAAGGAGCATCTCAGACAGTTCGCGACCCTTCTCCTCGCTCTGCTTCCTGCGCAGGAGGGAAGGAGGGAGGGGGGGATTTCCCTGGGGTACAAAGGCTTGCAGGGTCCTGACACCCACTTTTTTTTGAAGCTGGAAAAGAGGTGGGAGCCATCTGCCTCCTGGGTCTTGGGGTTTGTCATGTCTCACCCAGAGCCGCAGCCGCACAGCACAGCTGGGGGCTGGGGATGGTTCTACTGGGGTGGAGCATTGCTTTAGGCTTGTCCTTGCCACCCCAACATAGCTCCTGGGAGCTACCCAGGCTGCCCCGTGGCCCAGTCCAGCTCCAAAATGACCTTTCCATTGATTTTGGTGACATTTGCTCTGGTGTCCTGGAACGGCTGCCGTATGGGGGCATGTGGAGAGAGGCTGAGGATGAGTGTGGGGTAAACTGGATCCCACAGACCCACCCCCATGGCCCCTGTGTGTGTGTGTGTAGCCTGAATGCACGAGCATCCTTCTGGAAGGAACCTGGATTAGTCATCCCCACCCCACAGATGGGCTGTGTGATGTCTTCCCTGGAAAAGCTTATCTGTCACAAATTCCAATTTATCCCTGAAAAGGAGTGTTTACGCCCCTTTTTCTCCCTTGCTTTTGTGTTAAGCATTAAGAAAGTTGATCCTTCTCTTTTTTTCCTCCCCTCTGAAAGGCAAGACAATGAGTCCATTAAGCTCTGAGGCTTATCACAAGCTGGTTGCCTCCTCCAGACATGGTGTAATGGGAAGCGCTGGCTTTGTGGTGCAAAGCCTGTGTCTTTAAGGAGCCCTGGCTGGGAGAGGCAGTGGAGTTAGCAGATGCCTTTGCCAGGCTATTTCACACAAATTTGGCATCTGCTGCACCCACACCCCTGCTCAGCTTAAAAACATACCTCTGGGGTTTATTTCTAACCATTAGTCTGGTACCTGTTCCTCTCCAGCTCTGCCCTGGCCTCCAGATTTAGATGTGAAGGTGTCCCCCAGGTCCCTTACGGTTTGACAAACCTTTTATGGCTGTGTTTTTTAGGCACTGGAAAACTTCCAGAGCCCTTTCCCTGCTTTAGTGTTCACCCCATAAACCCCATGAGATGTCTGGTGAGCAAAGCTGGGCTGGAGTGCAATGGGATCCGCAGGGGAACTGGGATTCCCCTGGGCAGGGGGGATTCACCTCGTGCCACTGACCTGGCCCTCGGTGGCTGCTGTTGGACTGGACTGTCCTGGTCTGGTGGCACCTCAGTGTCACAGCGGGGGCTGCTGCAGCCTTTTCCCTCAGTGCCTGCTGCCTGTCTGTGGCCTCTGTCTCTGCATCACCTGAAAGTTTGAAAACTTCAGTGGGTGAAGAGGAGGGATTTTTCTAATAAACCTCTGGCTGATTTAAACCAGGGAGGGAAGCCTTTGAGATGGGAGACAGGCCAGCCTGGAGGTCACACATGCCTCAGTGACTGCTGCAGCAAAAGCATCAGCAGCTGCAGAAGTCATGCCGGTACCAGCGGTGACTCTGAAGTGCGAGCTGAGCTCAGGAGCAAGCCGTGCCTAATAGCAGGATTTTTCCAAAGTAGCCAATGCATGGGGAAAAATGTAATTCCTCAACCAAGAGAGCAAATGCAGTGTCCCTCCTGAGGACACCCAGCGCTCCTGTGCCAGGAGTGGGGGCACTGCGTGGGTACAGGACTGCTCCGCACGTCCCCAGGCATTTTGATGAATAAGGTAGGTGAAGAAGATTTCCAGTTGATGCAGAAAGATCACAAACCTCTTTATTTGCTTTTTTATTCTAAGCGTCTGGTCAAGACAGGCAAATGCATATGAAGGTGTGGGAATGCTTCTCTTTGTTAGACGCTTTAACTGCTTATTAGAAAATGGAATTTCTGCTGCATGGAAAAGCCCAGCTCCCTGAAACATGATAGAAACCAGAACTTTGGCTTTTATTTCCCTACCAACATACAGATTTTTAATTCAGAGTCATCAAAGAATCTGAATCATGTTTCTGTTATGTTTCAACATTATAAAAATAATCTTAATATTTTACATGACAGAACACACAAGAGGAAACAAAGCAGGCAGATGAATTGTTTTGACACTTCTTCCACTGAAATTCTCCCTAAAACCAACACCTTCTGTGAAAACACTTTGATTTTGGCAAAACTGCCTTTGCTGCTGGGAAGATTGAACTTTTTGACCAGGTCTGATTAGCAACATAGGTAGTCAGGCTACAAAGCTCTTTGGCAGAATCACTGCAGTGGTGATTTGATGAGATCTATTTTTTCCACGGGGAAGACTCTTTGGGGGATAAATCCTCACTTCAGTGACTAATTACCTGTTTGAACAAGGAAAGCCACAGGGGCGAGGTGCCGGAGGTGCAGTAAACTGCCTTCCTTAGGCCATTAATGTTCTGCAAAAGGAGAAACTTTAAGAGGTAAAAAAAACAAGGAAAAGTTTCACCTGAAAAAATAATCCTTTTTTTTTTTTTTTTTTTTTTTTTCCCTTCTGTACCACCAAAGAACAACTGTCTAAAGCTGTTTCTCTCCCCTCCCCTCTCCCTGGTCCTCACTTTTCAAAATGCAGACATCCCTCCTCACTCCTCAGGGTGCTTCTGCCCTCCCCTCACCTAGAAGCACCCAAATCAGGGGGAGCCCTGCGTCCCCTCCAGCCTCGCTGTGTCTTGCCCGCAGGTGGAACCAGCTCCCGCTCTGCTGATCATGGTCAACAAGACCTTAAATTACTGGGGTCCCAGCTTTGAGGAGGACGTTATCAACATCAACGTGGGGGGTCTGAGAAGGCGGCTCAGCTCCAGCGCCCTCTCCAAGTTCCCCGACACCCGCCTGGGACGCCTGCTCTCCTGCGACTCGGAGGAGTCCATCCTGCAGCTCTGTGATGACTACGATGTAAGCGCCAGGGAGTTCTACTTTGACCGAAACCCCGGTTTCTTCCTCTACGTGCTTCACTTCTACCAGACGGGGAAGCTGCATGTCATGGAGGAGCTGTGTGTCTTCTCCTTCTGCCAGGAGATTGAGTACTGGGGCATCAATGAGTTTTTCCTGGACTCCTGCTGCAGCTACCGCTACCACGAGCGCAAACTGGAGAGCCGGCACCACAACTGGGATGAGGAGAGTGATGTCAGCAGCGTGGACACGTCCCCCGATGAGATCTCTGACATCAACCATGACCTGCTGCGCTACAGCACGCTGCGCTGCGGCAACATACGCAAACGCCTCTGGCTCACCATGGAGAACCCCGGCTACTCCATCCCCAGCAAACTCTTCAGCTTCGTGTCCATCAGCGTGGTGCTGGTTTCCATAGCCACCATGTGCATTCACAGCATGCCCGAGTACCAAGAGATGGATGAGAATGGCAACGTGCTCGATGAACCTGTCCTGCACAAGCTGGAGTATTTCTGCATCTCATGGTTCACCTTCGAAGTGTCTTCCCGCCTCCTGCTCTCCCCCAACCCCAGGAAATTCTTCAAGCACCCGCTGAACCTGATTGACATTGTCTCGGTGTTGCCCTTCTACTTCACCCTCTTGGTGGACGTGACCATGGGCAGTGACTCGGAGCTGGGCAACCTGGGCAAGGTCGTGCAAGTGTTTCGGCTCATGAGGATATTCCGGGTGCTGAAGCTGGCTCGGCACTCCACCGGACTGAGGTCTCTGGGGGCCACCTTGAAGGTAAACTGTCTCTCTTTCTTCCCTTATCTACTCTTAGTTTCTGGGCAAGAAGGAAACCTCTGGTACAGCCGGGGAATGTGGCCGCTCCCATTCCCCATGAGCTACCAGGTCTGTGTGGTGTCTGGCAAGCTTGCTTGGGGTGGTGGGCTGGGTTGTTGGTTTGTGTGTCTGCTAAAGCAACCAAGCATGAGGAACACTGCCTGAATCCTCTGACCACACACTTGGAGCAAACAGCAATTCACCCCAGTGCTTGCAGACTTCGTTTCACCTGGAACTGGTGCTTCCAGGGACTCAGCCACCCTTCCCCACCATGGTGTGCAAGCCCCATTGCACGGTGTTGGAACGGACTCGGCCATGCATGGGTTCATGGTGATGTCCCACCAGGAGTGGGTCAGTGCCTCGCTGGGCTGCAAGCACCCTGCTGAGCAGGGACTGGGCCAGCCAGCAGCTGCTGGGTGTGCCAGCACCAGTGTGTGTGGCTCAGAGCTGCTCCTGTCCCCAGTCTGGGAGAAGTCTCCTAAGGGTATGATGCCAGCTGGCTGGAGTCCAGCGTCCAACCCTTGGTGTCTGCCCATCTAGGGAGCCATAGAGATTCCAGTCCAGCTGAGCTGACATTTGGATGCACCAGCGTATGATGAAGTTGGACTGGTACATGGTTAGCCATGGGTGGCACAGAGCAAAAATAGAAAAGCAAAGGCTTAGCTGCAGGGCCTGGCACAACCAGCCCAAGGCAGCATGCATGCCCCCAGCAGAGCCTGGGCTACCAGCAGCTGCCCCTCAGCATGCTGGAAAAGCTCAGGGGAAGCTGGCCCCAGGACCACATGGTCCTCAGGAGGAAGAGCTGCATGAGGAGAGCTAAGAGGTGCAGGTTTGGTGAGAGGAGGTCCTCATCCTCCATGGTGTGCCCCAAGGTTTCTCCAGACCCCCTCCACAGGACCCCCAGCCTCCTTAGGCAGACCAAGAGCAGCTGTGACGAGCCAAAGCATGGATCTATCATGAAATCCTCACCAGGCTGGTGCTACAGCCCAGACTTCCATTGCTGCAGCTCAGCTGTGCAGCACGGACCAGCCACAGTGCCCTTGTGTGGCTCTCTGCTCTCTCCCACTGTCCTTCCCTCCTCTGTCCCCCTCATGCTGAGGGTCATGTGTCCGAATCTGGGGAGGGTGAAACTGTTTCCTGACCTCCTGCACTTACACAGAAAATCCAGCTCACTGCAGAGGCCAGTTAAACTCAGCTTTTAATTGTCTCTGATTCTCAGAAACCACATCAAGAGAAATCTTAAAGCCAATCCTTAAGCCTGCCAAGACACAGAGTGACACACTCTCTCGATGCCGCGCCACATGCAGGGCTTGTGCTGGGCATGGGGAGGAGGCTATCAGGGCAAACATCTCCTCTTCTCGTGGGGCTGCTTCTGGTCCCCATGTTCATACCAGAAGACTCTTTTTTCAAGCAATATCCCTGTGCTTTTTTTGCCTTCAAACAAAGGGTGTGCCAAACAAATGGCCAAGGAGGGCAATCTTCATAAAAAAGCTTGACATTCAACCAAAGGGACGCTCTCCTCATACTCAGTGTCTGCAGGGGCCAGAGCCGCAGCCCCTGGTGCTGCTCCCACTGAAGGGCCATTGCAGGATGAAGCGGGCACAGCTGTGGCTGGGGACACGCCGTTTCTCGCTGCTGCAGCCATGGCAGGGCCGGCAGGGGATGTCCTGGCATCAGCAGGACTCGACTGCCAGGGTTGGACCTGTGGGTGAGTCATGGAAAAAAGCAACCCTCGAGTGTGGCTGGGGATGAGGGTGAGCAGCAGGAAAGGTCTTCTGACAACTTCTGCTGTGAAGCAGGACCAGCCCAGTCCAGCACTAATCCTGCAAAGCCCACAGAGCATCACAATATGTGTGGGGGAAAAATTCCTGGCATTCTGAAAACCTGCTGAATACAGAGTCCAGGGAGGACTGTTTGAAATGAAGATGCCTGAAGTCCTACCCGCATCATACTTCTGAACACTCACCTTGAAAGAGCAATTAGCAAGTGACAGACCCGTGTAACACTGCTTGCGGAATTTAAATAAAATTGTACGTGTGGGAAGGGCTCCTTGAACCCATTCTGTGCTCCATTTAAGCATGAACAACACGTTGCAGCAGAGAAGGGACTGATGGGCTCATCTGCGTGTTGTTAAGCAGCAGACGAGATGTGGGGAGCGGCAGCATCGGGGCTCCGGCCTCTGCCGAGCCGCTGATTCATTCACCCAGTGACGTGCTGAAAAATGCCGCTTCCCGGGGACTCCGGAGCCAGCTGTAAATGGGGATGAGCGAAGACACAAATCTGACGCAGCAGCTTGGCATCGTGATTTACTGGGCACATAAATTACAACGACTTGTTAATCATAATTCACTTCCTATTGCAAGAGCATAAAGCAGCAGCAGAGTAAAGGCTGTTAACAGCCAGGAAGCGGGAGAGATGGCTCTGGCAAGCCGAGTAATTGTTCCCCTGCCTCGGAAGTGCTAGCAGAGGGATTTCTGCCATTTGTGCATCATAAACTCTGAGCGGTCTTCAGATTGCTTGGGGCCTGATCCAGGGTCTATTTAATTTGAGGAGAGGCTTCCCACAGGTCTCCGCTGTGCATCCATTACCATTATTGCAGCTTCCCGGGTGGGGGGTTGGTGCCTGTCTCCTACTGGCAGTCAATAGGTGTTAGGGACTGAGTAATTTAGGCATCTGCAGGGATCTACAAGAGTTGCTGTCTGTCCCCTTAGGGGCCTAAATACACAAATAGGTTGGAAGAGCTGGAGCTGCACGTCCCCAGACAGCAGATGCATCACCCTGCTGTTGCTACCGTGGGCCATCTTTGTGCTCAGTCCCCGCACCGGTATCTCCGGCCAGGCTCAGAACAGGCTCTTCTATTTCATTTATCTGCTGTTGTACTGGAGGAAAGACAGGCATTCAGTTGGGAAAGGAGCCCATGGCTGTCCCAAGGACAGGCAGACCTCCTGCCAGGCCAGGAGCCCAAAGAGCCTGCTGTTGGGGTGGGTTTTGCTGGAGCCTTTTATAACCCAGCATTGCCTCCCCCAAGGCTGAGTGCTTGCTACGCCTGCATCCCACCCAAACCCTGGCTAAACTTGCATCCTACCCAAACCCCAGCTGCAGCTGCATATCCCTGGATTAATGAGTGATCCACATGTTTTGAGGATAAATGGCTGCAAATAGGTAGCACCCGGTGCCTGAGGATCAGCTGGGAGATCCTGGAGCCTCCTTTGTGCCACAAGCCCTGACCCTGCTTGTAAATTAAAGCAGTAGGAGCTATCGAGCTGCCTGACTTCCCCCTCGCCTTCACCCTCCAACACATCCCAGGGCCATAACTGATACTCTTTAAAAATGTATAAGGTTATTCGGCTCTGCTGCTCCCCAGCTGGGACATACAGACGTGCTGTTAAGCTCCAGCCAGGAGCAAGTCTTTCATGGCCAAGTGATACATCCTTGAAACTCAGTGGCTCTGAGCTGTTTGTCCTTCTCAAGGTGCTCCCTCGGAGCTGATATAGGGCATTTGCAGCCACCGACGATGTTGGAAGAGGAAGAGATTATTTCCCCTTAGTATTAATGGCATTAGCTGAGCAGCTTTTGCCAGCAGTCTAAGCAAAGTCTTTTCACTCCCTGCCATGAATCCACCTCCTTTATGTCCCATGTTGACCATAGAAGCTCCTTTCCCCTGTTTTCTGCTCAAGTATTTCGTTTAGTCATTATGTAGTTCAAATAAGGCATTCTCCGCCTGTTAGAAGACTGGGGAAAAAAAAACCAAACCCAAACAACTAAACCACAATCTGCTTTCCTTTCTTCAAAAGATGAAGAGCAAGCTGGCAGATCAGTGGGCAGAAACATCCAAGAAATTCACTTGTGACAATCAAAAGGCGAGTGGACTAGCCATGCTGTGAGGGTGGTGGTGGCTTGGGCACTGGTAGAAAATGGGCTCTGGGGTCCCCTCCTGGTCGGTGAGGTGTTACATGAGCAGACTGTGCTGGGGGTCCCCATCCCCACTGCCCGCAGGGCTCTTGGCTCACATCTTGCCAGCCAAGAGGCAGTGGCAGGAGCTGGGTGCTGGATTTGGCCCAGTGCTGGCCCATAGTGGTTTGCCTGGTTGGTTTGCTTGTCCTCCAGCAGTCTCCTTCCCGGCATCACTTGCTGCCTTGTCCCCCAAATACCCACTGCCTTTTTCCCCCCAGGCTTTTGGTACAGGTTTATACTTTGCTCAAAATTGAAGAATGTCCAAAGACAGATTTCAACACAAATGTTTTAATTTGAAACCAGAGAAATGATGGCTTCTTCAAGGAGCATTGCACACCTCTGCTGTCAGTCTGTCCCCCCAGGCCCTGCACACCTGCCTGGGAGGTTGATGTCCCATGGCCCTGTTCCCACCAGGGCTCCCAGATCCTTCAGTGTGGGGCTAATTGAGCTGGGGGGTGCAGCACCCTGTGGGGATGGGTGCTAAGACCAGCCCCCGCTGATGTTGGATGGATCCCCAGATGGACCTGATAACCAGGGCTGCTTGGATTCATGTCAGCTCTGAGGTTCATTTCAAGTCTTCCATAGAGTAGCAGCAAAACCTGAAATGTAATTATCTCAGAAACAGTAGTTTCTTCAAAACTCCCCCCTATCTGTGTAACAAAGGGTTAAATGGATGCTGGGACTGTAGATGGTGTTGGGGAATAGGAGGGATCAGGTCCCTGGGGCTCTGGCTGTGGGGTTCCCAGCAGCTGGGGAAGAGCTAGAGCTGAGCCTGCAGCAGAGGCACTCGTCCTCCCTGCGAGCACATCGCTGGCGTCAAGGGAAGATACAGATTCCTTCCCTTAGAGGCTGCCTGTTAGATGCTTTCTGGGGACCTGCCAAGATAAAAGGAAAATGTGTCTAAATATTGTTAGCCAAGATCGGGTTGGAGCGAGTGCTGGAGGCAGGGGAGTAGCCTGTCCCTGGGAGCCCTGGCTGGGAAGCACAGGTCCGTTCTCCCTCCCGGCACAGCCTCCTCCTCGCAGGCTGGTGGAGGGCAGGGGGGCGGCTGTGGCTGCCAGGGCTGATTTCCTGCTGCCCCACTGTGGGTCACCCACGTACCCCCTGACTCTTCTCAGCCTGGCCCTGCAGTGGGACACCCCACAGCAGAGATGGATAGAGGCACTGAAATCTCCAACGGAGGCGTGCAGGGAGTCTGTGTGCCGGGCTGTACTTGTGCTGTGGGGTCCCAGTGTCCTGGCCATGACGGGTATGGTGTCACCCACTGACCATCGCTCTGCTTTGCCTTCCAGCACAGCTACCGGGAGGTGGGGATCCTGCTGCTCTACCTGGCTGTGGGGGTCTCCGTCTTCTCTGGTGTGGCCTACACTGCTGAGAAGGAGGAAGACGTTGGCTTTGACACCATCCCGGCATGCTGGTGGTGGGGCACGGTCAGCATGACCACTGTGGGCTACGGTGACGTGGTGCCCGTCACAGTGGCGGGCAAGCTGGCAGCCTCGGGCTGCATCCTGGGGGGCATCCTGGTTGTGGCGCTGCCCATCACCATCATCTTCAACAAGTTCTCCCACTTCTACCGCAAACAGAAGGCGCTGGAAGCCGCTGTGAGGAACAGCGGAAAGAAAGACCCCGAGGATGTGGAGAGCACCTCCAGTCATGACCAAGACTCAGAGGCTCTGAGCGAGACCTCCCTGGGCAGAGGCAGCCCCGACCGCCGCGGTCTGACCCCTGGCACCCACCCTGCACCCTGACACCCCCTGTCAGCCGCAGCACCAGGGCGCGTGTGGGACCCGCTTGCTCACCATGAGCACGGCACAGCGGTCACACCGGGACACGGCGGAGGAGCCAGGCTCGCCCTGTCTCACACCGCGCCTGGCATCGTCCCTGCCCTGTGAAGGACAGGAGGGGCTGGGGGAGATGCCCAGTGGGTGCCGGCTGCTTCCAGCCCCCAGGACACCACAGCCAGGTCTGCCTGGACGTGTCTCAGCCTTCACCCAGCGATGGCCCTGCTCCGCTGTGGCTACAAATGGAGGCTGCGGTGCTGGACATGCCCCTGCCAGAAAGGGAGTGAGAAAAAAAGAAATACAGATGACTCCTGATCAGGCACTGCCCTGGCTGTGTGAAGGGGGATTTTGCTTTGCCCTGGGGTTTTGTATTGTCCAGGGTGAGGTTAAATAGCCTGAGGGTGAGGCAGCCCCCGACCAGGCTGGCTGCCCTTGCAGGTCCTGTGCCAGGTTGGTACCAGCTCCAGTCCCAACCTTGTCCTACCCCCAGCTGGAAACAGCCTCGAAAGGCTCAGCTGCCCCACCAGCCATGAGAGAAAGGGGGGTGGAAATGAGTCTGTATGGGAGGAGAGGTGATGTCCAGCTCAGGGTGGGCCCCACTGTCCCAGTCCCTGCAGTGGGATTGACTGGACCTCACCTTCCTTCCACTGCAATGGGGGTTTCACTGTTGTCCTTTGCTGCCACCATCGGGACCCCCCAGGAATCTGGGGCTGGGGCTGTGCTGGGAGCGTGGCACGGCCAGGAGCACCGTCCATGAAGGGGGGACACCAGTGGGGGATGACCAGGTGAAAGGGACACTGTCATCTGAGGCAGGAGCAGGAGGCAATCAAGCTGGGGGAACTCCCCCCCAAGCCCTTCGCTCCATGGGGCTCCCATGCCATGGGCCATTTGTTTCAGGGCAGAGAGGAGGCAGAGGCCTTGCAAAGGGCTGCCAGGGAGCAGACATAGGGGGACACTCCTGGGCATGGGGAAGCTGCCTCTGCCATTGCTGTATGCTTGAGATTTCCACTGTGGGAAGAGCTGCCAGGGAGCCCAGTGGCTGTGGCAGCCCGTGATGGGGTGAAGAAGATGACCGAAGCCAGCCGGGTTTGGCACATGGCCTGGTCCCCCCCGCCACGACCCCCAGCCTGGCTTCGTTCTGCTGCCTCATCCCTCCCTGCCTTGGGGCCGGGCAGGGGCAGGCGCGCTGTAAGGAGTGGGGGGGTCACACTGCCACAGGCATCCCCTGTCCTGACAGGAGCTCCCCGGGTGCCAAGGCAGTCACCTTCCCTCTGCAGGGAGGGAGCACCCCCATGTCCATGGGAGAGCTGGGGCAGGGGGGACCTTGTGCTGCTCCTTGTCACCACCGTCTCTGAGCACCTCACAGCCGGGCCCCCTTCCCACCCAGATCTCCCAGCCAGCTGAGCACATTCGGGGCTGCTCCCGGCACAGCATTAATTCCCTATGGAGTTTTTCCTTGACCCTTGGTTCTCTGTTTGGAAATCGTGCAGCTCCTTTGTGCACAGAGGAATACATGCAGCAATGCCTGTTCCCAGCAGGAGAAATGTGCGCCCTGTAATCACCTAAACAACTCAAAAATAGGTTGGTGGCTACAGGATGGACCCAGGCACCTGGATCCTGGTGGTTGCAGCCTGTTGTCCTGGCTGGCTTTTGGCACTGCCACCGTTGCTGGTGCTGGTTCTGCCTGTAGCAATCACTGATGGGCGAGAAAAGGCAAATCAATGCCAGTGCGGGTCCAGCCTTCCTGACCCCCATTGGGATTCGAGGAGGGGTCCCCAAGCAGCAGTGGTGTGGGATGGAAGGGTGCTCACACTCCTGGCATCATTGAGTCTTCCAGCATGGATGGTTTGTGGTCTGCTCTGCGCTCATTCTTACTGAGAGCTGGGACTGGTGAGCTCTGTCGTCTGCTCTGACCAGCTTCCACTGCACTGTTACTTGAATAAGGGAAGGAGTTTCCCCTTCTGTCCATAAATATTCCAGTAGCAAAATGTATTAAAATGTGAAGACTAAATTACATGTATTAATTAAAAAGCATTATGCAAATAAATAAAAGAGCATGTAAATTAATTTTCTATCTATGCATGGGATGCATACTGTATATTTTATTAAAGATCTCATTGACCCACTTTGGAGGCTGGTTTTCTGTTTCGGTGTGCCTGTGCATCGGTGGTGCTGAGGCCGGGTCAGTGCGTCAGTGCCAGCAGCCCCCGGGGAGCACGAGCAGCCAGGCTGCTCCCCAGTGACTGCAGGTCCCCGTGAGCCAGCTCCAGCACCGCCTCGGAGCACAGCGGCGCTCCCACCTGACAGCCCCTGCCTCATCCCTGCCCCAGCTGGTGGGTGCCAACTAGTCCTTGTGCCTGGACCACTGGCGTCATCGAGCTAGAGCATTTTGGATAACCCATCTCCCTGGAGGCCCAAGGAACGGGGCATCCCCAGGGTGTGAGGGAATGGCTTGGAGCTGGCGGGCTCTGGGAAGAGCTGCACAGAGAGCCAGGCATGCAGCTGGGAGGGAGGGAAGCGCTGAGCAGCTTTCAGAGGGAGATGAGAGGATCAAAATTAACATTAGAAATGCACGATGATTCCCAATGCAAAGCACTTGTCCAATCCAAGCATGGGTCCTTCCCCCATCCCATTCATTACACACCCATGAAATCTGGGAAGCAGGCGGGAAGGTGCAGAAATCCCCCAACACCAAGGGACATGAGGGCTGAGCTGCCGGCGTGAGCAAACCCAGCGCTGGGAGCTGATTCCCCCTAACTGCCACTCTTAAGAAACTAATGTTAACCCCAGGCTTGTGGGTCACATTTTGGACTAAAATAGAAAAGGCTCCATTTTAAAAGAAAATACAGTTCAAGTAGCAAGTGTTTGTTGCTTAACTTGGTTCAACAACGTTTTAGGTGCACCTTTGCCAGCAGAAGGCTGCAGGACCTGTGTGCACGTTCCCTGCTGGCTTCCCTGCTGCTTCACCTCGGCTGTGGCTGTTGGCAAGGGCAGGGGACCCGTGCCTGAGATGCAGATAGAGCCCCCTGCAGCTCCGGAGACCCAAGAGGAGCTGACAGCTGCGTTCATTCCCTGTTCATCCCTGCTGCTTTCATTAGCTCCAAGTATCAAAGCCAGGGGAGCTGAAACCCACCAAGACAAATTCAGGCCAGCTTGTGCAGGCCAGCAGCTGCCTGAGTACTGCAGCTGTGTTTAAAACCCATCTCCTGACATGGAGAACGTCCTCTCCACTAAACAGCTTTAGTGGCCCTAATCACATCCATCCTCTGCTGCTTTCCTTGCTGTAAAGGCAAAGCTCAGACTGGCTGCCAGCACCCAGCCAGCAGGGACTGCGGTCATCAGCAGATGAGAGCTATCACTAACTGAGCCAGTAGACTGCCAGAAGTTCAGTAGCCCCTTGGGAGGTTTAGAATTGCCCCAAGGACAGCACCACACAGCACCAGGCTGCCTAAGGAAACACCTTTGCCCCTGCAGAGGGTTTTAAGCCCCAAGGCAGAGGCTGAGCACCCAGGGAGCAGCATCCCCAGCCAAGCTGAGCAAGCCTAGTGCCAATTTTCTCTCCAGAGAAGACATGTCCCACCAGTGTGTCTGGCTACTTCAAGGGGGTGACTGCTCTTTCAGAGCTGGCTCTCCTGTCTCAGGGGATGGAGTTTGTGCTCTAATGTTGCTTGGGCTCTATCCTCCTTTTTCCTGAAGGCAGCATAAAGGCCAGGCTAGCTCCTGATGCTGTAAGTGGCCTCTGATGCTCTGAACTGAGGGGGTTGTCTGGGAGCTGATTGTCTGCAGGGGCTGGCTGGGGAGGGGAAGACTTACTGCTGCTCTCCCTGCGTCAAGTGCAATTCTCTGCTAGATGTGATAAGAGAGGAGGGTTAAAAATAGAGTTTAATCTTTATTCCTTTGAGAGTTTTTCTGTTTTAAAAAATAAAAATCTACATGCCACGGATCTTTCTAAGGCAAAAGACTCCCCTGACTTGGGGGTTAAAAGTAAGGCAGGACCTCCCATGAGCCCCTCTGCTGCGCTGCAAACAGCAGCTGCCCTCGGAGGGGGGCTGGTGTGTGAGAGCTCCAGGATTGGGTTTGGGAAAGCCACGAAAGATGCTTTCTTTTTTTAGCCGCCTGCTCTCTGTGAAGACATTAGGATTTGTATGGCTATGAGTAACTGCACTAGGAAAATCCTCCCACTGCTGTGCAGGCAGATCTCGCAGAGCTCGAGTCTGCAGAGCAGGGAAGAACCAGGTGCAGGAAGGTGCCCAGCACCCGAGGAGTGGGTGATCACAGCCCACATTCGCATTAGCAAGGCACTTCTGTGCAGTGATGCCATGTCTGGTCTGTCTTACTATTTCTAAGGCAAGTAGGAAATTTGTGTTCTTTTGCTAATCCCCAATCAGTTTTCCTGAGAGTGACTGCGTTTTCATTTGGTACAGCGGGTAAATCAATTAAACACTTTATCAGGTTATTTCTACAAAAGCTGCTCCCCACACTCAGAAAATGACTGATGAAAGAGTGACTCTTTTGCCTCCAGGGAATGGTGATTAAGGAGTGACCTTATTAAGCCATTTCATGCAGCTGAGAATTAGATAACTCTGCTTAAAGAGACAAAGTAAACTTCATTACTTCCGTATAAAACTTCTTTTCCTCTGTCAACTTTCAGACCTGTGACTACCCTAAGTGTGGTGCATGCACTTAACCTGGTTACGGGAAAACTGGGAGATTTTAAAGGGCTTCATTTGTAGGAAGGAAAGGCTCCTCGCTACTAGCATTTCTGGGATCTGTCCTGCTCGTAGGCTCCTACAGCCCTGCTGAGCTCAACAAATTTCAGGGAGTCAAAAATCAGAGCTGACTGCTGGAATACATGTGTTAAATCAGCATTACTTGTAATTCCTCTATTTGCTGCACTACGTATGGAAACCAGTAATGACAAACAGTGCTGTAAATTTATTTTCACAAAATTATGATAAAACACTTTTTACTGGTAGTAAGAAAGGTCCAAGGTCTGCATATACTCATGGGTTCACTTTATCCTTGATCCAAACTGCCACTCTTAAGAAGCTATTGGCTTAGTTGTAGGAGGCACAAGGCTTTCATTCTGTTTGAGATGCTAAATGAATAGCCTTAAAGGTGTGGAATTAAGTTAAACAAACATGCCTAGACAGGTCACAGAATTTCAGGAAACAAAAACCACAGGTCAGGCGTGCAAGGAAGCACAGCACCAGTGATCCACAGCCAGATGTTGAATGTGCAAGAGCAACTGAGGGGGGAAAACTGCCCTGCACCTCTGTTTCAATATCATCCCCTCTACAGTCAACAAGTGACAGTCCAGAGGTCGTGAGCCTCTTGGGGCTGAGGAAAGGCTGCCCTACAGCTCAGCCATCACTGACTGTGCAGAGGAGGGTCTGCAAGAGGCTGGTCTGCTGCCATGACCACTCTGGATGGGATTCAGGGACTCTGGGCTCCCTCCGCCTCCAGCGCTGTATTGGTATTAATAGTGACAACCAAGAGGGGAGCAGAACAGACTGTGCTGCGTAGATGGAACTGAATTGTTTAAAAAGTTTCAAACAAGTTAGGTGTCTTCCTGGACTCTTAAATTAAAGGGCAATTAAGTCACTTTCAGTCTGGAAAGATCTGATGGGCGTTTCCTGCTTTGACACTCTAAAATTTTGCCAGAGTGATTAATGCAATGAAAAATTGTCAACTCTCAAGTCAGGGCTCTCAGCCAACACCCAAAGCATTTATCTAAAGCACATGCTCAGGCTCTTTTGGCCTGTGCACAGGACAAAATGAGGGCGTAGACAAGAGTAACTGGGCATAAAGGACACTGGCACAGCAACACCTGTCCCTTAGTACTGATAATTAATGGGACGGGGAGAAAAACTGCTGGTGCTGCAGGCTTTGTGGAAAGTTGACTCCCCCCCACGGGGGAGAAAAACCTGGCTAAACATCAGCCCCAGCTCATGGCTACTTGTCAGTGTTGGCTTTGTTAGTTATAGGCAATTAATATCTGTGCAGCAGGTGCAGTGCCCCCAGCATGAATGGAGTGCCAGCGAACACTCCCCCGGAACGGCTGCAGCGCTGCTGCGCGCTGGGAGGGCAACCCTCCCGTCGTGCTGGGGCTCCACAACACCCTGGTAACGTTGCCGAGAATAGGCAAGAGCTCCAGGCTTTCCCAGTTACTAGAAATGCCCGCAGTCTCCCTCCCTTTGATTTCCACACTCCTTCCTAACATTTAAAAGCTCAGATCTATTTTGTTTCTTCCGGGATTGCTAACCAAAGCTGACTCCTGAATGAATTCTGTCTCTGCTTCAGTTAGTCATCCCTTCAGGACAGATTTAGTAACTGCTCAGGGAAACCACGTAGAAGCCAACAGTTCACCGTTGGAAGGCAGCACCCACTCACTGTCAACTTCATCTTTTTCCAAGCCAGAAAGCTGAAAGTGCAGCAAGTCAGACAGAATTAGGCAAGTAAGACTCCAGCCTCACCTGTTGTGTAGGAAGGGGGATAAATTGATACGTACCTAGTCCCAAACCTGACCACAGGCTCTGGAAAGTTGCTGCAGTGTTAAATAACGGAGCAGAGATGGCAAGTATCTACAGCAGAGCTCACCCTCCCCATCTGCCAGAGCACCCCTTGGGACAAACACACCTCCTGTGATCGCAGCTCCAGGCTGGCAACGCTCCTCGCTGCGGGAAACCGCCCGGACCTCCACCGCCCCCCACCCGAACTGCCACAGAGCTGGCAGCACGTGGACCTGCCCCTGAACTGAAACAAATCTCTCCTTGAGGTGAAGAATTAGTAACGTTTTAAGGCTAAGGAAGTGCCTGTTCAAAAGTGTCAGACATGTTTATTGCTTGTGTTTATTAAAGCTTGTATGCCCCTCCAGAATTTTGCATAACATAGGTTGACCAGAGGCACATCATGTTAAAACTTGTTCTGATAAGCAATAATACACCAGAGTATTTTAATGCATAAATGAATCACGACACATGCTTTCAGGTAAGGACAGTTTATTTGCCCCTTTGAACAAATAAGGCAAGATGTTTGAGAAAGATCAACAAAATCTCCTGTATCAAACTCAGAGGAATGCAATAAAAGTTACCATTTCATACATATACAAACTAATGACCCAACACTATTATATACAAACAGCCAGATCTTAGAAAATAGCATTTCAAGTCAGCACTTTATGCCAGTGTTGCTAATTTCTTTGTTACAAAAAAGTTAAAGCTACAAACTTCACATTTTTAAGTCTCACATGACTGACATCATCAGTATCTCTGGGTTTTAGAAGCAAAGATATTGGTTTGTCCAGAACACTTTCAGCAATGCAGAGGGACCTAAGGACCACAGAAACGCAGCTTCACAACTAGGCAAGCTTTTTGCTTAAGAACTTTGTCAGAACAGCTTTCCCTTAGAGCACAAGCCTTGGTCTTAGCCTGGAGGTCTCTGAGAAGTGAGGAGGTACTACGCTCCCAGACACTCTACAGAGGGACCAAAAAGGGAATTATTTTCTCTAACAGATTGAAAATCAGAGAAGGAGAAAAGAATTCCACTCCAAGTGCAAGAAACATTATCGAGTCTCAGCCACTGCAAGCATTTAAGAAAGGTTCAAAGACAGTTAAGCCATTGGACCAGTTTTACTTATTTTGGTTCATTTGCTGTATTTTAAGACAACCACATCAGCAGAGTATTTCAAGAGTGCTTACATTCAGTTACAGCAGTCACAGGTTGCATATTCCGTAAATAGACACCACCCTGTGGTGTTTCACCTAGACCTTGGGTTTTCTAATGCCCTCCGATCAGTAGAAAGTTACCTACACAGTGCAGAGGTAAAAATACTCCCAGTAGAATCTGCTTGATCCACACCACATGCCAGCAGAGCACAACTTACCATGTCACATATCCATGTCTACCACAGCAGAAGTGTCAGGCCAGATCCATCCAAGTGACTAATACTAGATCCAACACTTGACCAGATGCAAAGGACGCTCATGAATATTGCTCATAATAAACACGTTTAGGGCAGAACGTATTGCACAGATTTCAGATGAGCACAGTATGAGCCCTGGTGTTCACACAGCACTTCACTAGACCTTATTAGAGAGTCCAGACTAAAGGATTTTAGTCCGTTAACAACAATGTAGCTTTTAATTACCTGGCTTTCTCAATTCAGAACTTTCCCAATACATGAGGCTATCAAATAGCTATTATCCCAGGATGTACTCTTACTTCGGTGTCCTGGATGCACTGCCTACTGCCTTCCTTTAGAGACAAACCAATGCAACCAGATCAGCAGAGGGGCTAAAAATGGCTTGGTTCCTTTCACAGCAATGGAGTATAAAAAAAAAAAAAAAAAAAAAAAAAAGCCTATGAGGTGTGAAATGAACACTTCACCTCTCTAGCAGCATTTGATTCAGGAGACACTGCTATTTAGTTTAATTATCTAGGTGATGTACCAAGGCCGATTTCAGAAGAATGGCATAGAAACTGTTCCCTCTATTAGAGCAAAATAAAAATAAATCGGTAGAAATACTTACTCTGACCAATATTTCATCATATGCTAGATACATCTAAAACTACATACCTCTTCTGTTACATGGGGCAGAGGCATCACTTGGTCTCTGCCTTGCAACTAGACTCTTTGCTTCTGTTTTACTCTCCACTCTACTGGTGTGAGTTAATTGCACCATCCTCACAGTGATTGTACACACTGGGGCGTTTTCATTGAGTTATACTGGGCAGGAATTGCAGGGAAATTTAAAGAAAGCACACAAGAGCATGCAGAGGAACTGGAAGAGAAGAGACTGAATCTCCTCCAGTAGGACATCAGTAACTGTCTTCTCAACCAGATCAACCCCACCTTTGCTCCACCACCATAAACACACATCTTTGTTAATTCAACAAAGTCTTTACCTTCATTTCAATTTTTCTGATGTGCTAAACCTTGCAGAAATGTGAAGGATTGTTTTTATTCAAGCGTCTCTAAAGATGTAAATCTGAAATGAAACCTATAGAATATTTCACAAACTGTGGAGATTTTTAACTCCTCTCAGACACAGCAGAAGTACCTAATTCCTGAGAGAGGTTCACACAACTTCCGCCCAGTCAAATACTGTTTCCTTTTCCCAGCACTCCACCATCAGCAGGGTCTCCCTGAAGGACTTTTCCAAACAAACCGATGAAGGAGAATCAGATCAATTGGCTTTTGGTTTTAAGTCAGTGTGGATTTTAAATTACAGAATCTAATTTCTGATGGAGGCACAACATGCTTTATCTACTTGTATTAATTCATGAAGTACACAAAAAGAGGACAAAACTGAGGTCTTGAAGAAACCACACTTGCTTAAAGCACACAGTGTAAGGCATGGGGCTTATTACAGGCTTCTTAAAAAATGAGATTTAAGTTTCTTTCAAAAGGCTGGAACAAGTTTGTACATGTTCTCACCTGCTCTCTTCAGTGACCTAAAACTTATCAGTACCTTAACACAGTAGAAAGATACAGTTAAACAGCTTGAAATTGAGTCTGTGCATTCACAAACAAAACCAAAAACCACAAAAGATGAAGCCATTAAATACCACAATCCGTATTAACTTAAAATAAAATGGACTACTGAAAGTTCAGTTGAAAAAGAGAATGAGCCAACTTTCATTAGCCTATTTCTATCTGTTCCTTTGATTTAAAACCAACCCCCCCTAAAAACAGTAACAAAACTCCTTCAGAATAATGTTTTAAATATATGTCTAACATTAAAACATATCATCAGGACTTTCCACTTAATGGCATTCCTGAGTTCACAAAGGTGCTATGGAAAAATAAATGAGCAGAAGTATTGCCCTGTATTTTGCTAGCGTATTTCAATAGAAATCAATCTATTCAGTAGTCATAAAAGCAAGGAGCTGATTGTTTGAGGATGGAAGAATATTCTACCAGTGGCTCAGAAGTTCTGCTGCCGCCGCTTCTTGGCTTCAATGGCATCAAGGATCGGCTGCCGCTTCGACTGGTACTTCTGGCGGATTTCTTCAATCTCCTGCTCCATCATGGGGTCCAGGGCTGAGAGCCGCCTCTGCAGTTCATCAACACTCCAAGTCTTCAGCTAGCAGGGAAACAAAAGAAGAACAGACATTAGCATCAGTACAGCCACAATCCAGACACCTACAGCGATTTTGCTGCCCACCTGATGGTCACAATGCATCTTCCAGTAGGAGAAGGTGGAAGAGTTCTGCTCCAGACTGCTGCCCTCAACGAGACTGGCATGAGCCTCAGGATACTGGGCTGCTTTTGCTCATTTTACAGATACATTACATGCTCTGTTTAGTGACAGTGTGAGTGTATAAAACAACCAGTGAAACATATCCCCCATTGAGTTGTTTTTCTAATGCTTCATTTTGCAGGCTTAGAACAGAAATACTGAATTGAGATGGAACAGAAGTGAAGTTCTCTCCCCCTCCCCTTTCCTTGCAACTAAACTTCCTTATGCTAAGTGACGAAAGGAGACAGAAGGGAACAGGAAGAAAAAAAATCATTGACAAAAGTTGCATTTGGAGGAAAAAAAAAAAAAAAGAAGCATGTATGTACAATAAGGCTGAACCTCAAACATGATGAGGAATTCAGACTCTAAGCTAGAAATCCCAGAACACACACAACAGGTTACTTTGGGTCAGCCTCATACTGATATAATATGGAAATACAATTTGTATTTTACTGTACACGTGAAGATGTCAGGCTAGTCTGGACAAGCTTCCCTTCACCCAATTCCCTATCTGCCTGCCCTTTGTTTAATTGGCTCTCTTGTGTGTGCCAGTTTGCTGAGAACTGTCGCAGCTAAGTTTTATCTGTGATTAGAGATGCCAAGTGTGGCCTGGGACTGTCTAGATTGTCCATAGCTACATAATATTATAGTATTATAGCTTGTAGAATAGACAGGATTTCAGGATAATGTTAACAATATGGACACTTGAAGTGCTTCAAATGTTCACCTAAGCACCAGTCCTGTTCCCATCCAAGACCAAGTGACACCCAGAAACACACAGGAGATGCTGTTTTACAGCTGCCACAGAAGGATGGAGGATGGGAATGACTATTTGCACCACCTGCTTTCAATGACCATCTGCTGTGGATATTAAGAACATGCAAAATAATGTGGTTTTTTTGAGCAAAGAAGTGTCAGTTTTTAGACCTTCCAGAAATGTCATAATTGAGTGACTTATCTTCAGTTAAATGCAAATGATGCTACTGTCCTGGTTTAGCTGTTAATTCACCAGCTACTGCGGTTATTCCTCAAGCCATTTCTGAACCAAAACACACAGTGAAACGCTTGCTGCCTATTATAGGGCAACAACTGAATTACCGGTCATTTAATGGCAGTTTTGCACCAGTCCCTAAAAGGTATGTGTAAATATTAAAATACAAAAACATGGATCCTTCTTCCTGAAGTGGAAGAGATACCAGTCCCTAAGCCACAAAGTCATCTGCTAACTGATTTCTCCCACAATGTCTTTTGAAATTCTTTAGCATATTCTGCTAAGAAAGATATTTCCTAGTTGCAGTTACAGGATCACAAATCCACTTGAATAATCTAGGCACACATGAAGCAAAACCTTTCTTTCAAGGGTATACAGTCTTTCGGCCTCTCCAATCAGGCAACTGTTCATTAGAAAGATAAAGCACTTCCTCTGCAAAGATATACATTATTTATATACGTTAATGCAACTTTACCAGACAGCAGTTTAAAGTTGATGCATGGCACCAGTTGCCTTTTCACACTAATTTATTATGGAGCAGGTAATTATTCAACATGCCCCTTCCTCACAGTCTAGGGAACTGAACAGTCAAATAGAAATTCAAAAAATAAGAAAACATTAATTCAAGTACTGAACACATGTACTAAGCAGCTATATCACAGCAAATGGCTGTCAGCTCTCCTAGAGTACCCGGAGCTAGACTACTAAAAGAGAATTTTGGAACAGATCTAAAATACTTTGCTCACGACGTCAGAAATCACCCCAGGATTGCAGTCTTCCATGGATGCCCTTTGAGCCTTCTCCACCATCCTCCCAAAGTTCTGGGTGCTGCTTACAGCCAGAAACAAATTGTCAGAGTTGATGGCCCAGAGGGCAGAGCAGATTTACAGCAATGATCTCTCCAGACCCCAAGAACACAGCAGTAAGAAGAAAAAACCTCCCTTAAACATGATCTGGCATCACTGGACATTCTCTGTGGATACCGACACACAAAGTCTTTCTTCTAATTGTAAGCAACTGCTTGCCAAGGGATGAAATGGCTTTGACAATTCCTGGGGCTGTGTATTTGTCAGGACAGATGGCTAAGGTGCTCAGAGTACAGCTAAGTCTGGAGTGGGCAAAAGCCTACAGATGTGTATTAATAGGAACAGATCAGGAGGTGGGTTACCTGTGCAGACATGTGATGCAGAATGAAGTAGCTGCTTACAGAGACTGATCAGGGGTTAAACAGAACGGGGATGGTGGGAGAAGGAAGTGAGGCGAATCAATGCAGTGCAAAAATCTAAGAGCATAGACACATCCTGTGAGCAATGCTGCGTGTTGATGAAGATGAACTAATTACAGAGATTTCATCTGGAATAATGTCAGCCTGACTGTGAATGCCATGATACTCCTAAAAGAGACAGAGAAGCCAAAGGGCAACCTAGTAAAAGGTCCATAATGTGACTGTTCATCACAGATGAGCTGACGAGAGACTGACACGTGTCCAATTACTAATGAGAGCCAGGAGCCGATGCAGATGCAAAGGACATCTAGCCTGCTCCCACTGGGCTTCAGACCCGTGACAACATGAGCCTAGGACCTGGGCTGGGCTATTACTCAGCTTGCCCTTCCACTTGCACATGCATTTTTAAGAGACATGAAAAAAAAAAACCCAAACCTGCTTAAAACATGATGGCCTCCATTTAACTTTGCTGCACGGCATTTCACTGTAAGCCAATGACACAGACAGACTTCCAACCAGAAATGAAGTTTTTAAACTCTAGCATATCTGTCTCTGCAGTGATAGACTCCTGGGATACTGACATTATTCTCTTAGAGAAATGCCAGAAGCAAAATAAGAAAAGAAGGACAAGGACAGAGCATCTCATGACAGACGGTTACTCAGGGTAAAGCCTCAGTGCTGAACAGCTGCAATTAGAGCTGGTTTCAGCCATGGGCTCAGTCCCATTCCTCTCCTCACTTCTCGGCAATTCTGCCATTGTAAGAAGTCTGTCTTTGTAAAAGCTATCTATTTTTGTCTACACTGATCAAATATCTAAGACAAACTTTTAAAAGAAAGCATCTTATTTCAAAAGTAAAGACATATAAAATCTAAGGTTCTAAGGTTGGTCAAACACATCTGTCAACAGGGAGAGGTGGAAGCACAGTGAAACTGTTCAAGCAAGCTGATATGTGCAGAAAGCTAATTTTTAAAACATTTGATTAACAGCTGTATTGTTATTGAGAATGATCTTAACTCTGTAAAAATGACCAAGTGAAGACAAACTTCAGAGGTGCAAGCATTCACTGGAAAGCCTCTTGCCCACAGCCATGCATGTTGCTCATTGTTCTTCAGGCTGCAGACACCACTGACAGCAATACCTTGTTTTAATATGCTACTGATTTCTACTATATAATTCAGAAGGACATATATAATTACATCCTTCAGAAGGACATAACATATGGCCTTTCCATGCGTATGCAGTAATGATGGACAAATGAGGAACAGATCATTTGATACACAATTTCTTCCTCAAGGAGAAGATTTGTAAGCTATTCATGACATCCCTTCACCAGCATTTCAGATAGACTTGCAGATAACTACTCTGCTGAACAATGTTCACCTCAGCAAACTGCTTCTGAGTTGCCATCCTTTTAAATCAGGATTTTAAAAATAGGGGGAAAAAAATACCACTTGCATTTGTTACTGTCAGGTAAAGTGTCACTGCAACATGATATTCTGCTGAATGTAAATGAATCTAAGCAGCAAAAGGAGAATAAATAAAGGCTCTCTGCAGACATGTTAGACATAGCCACAGGTTCAATATTCAAGGGCACCATGGTCTGAAATTTATACCTATGCAGTTCTGTCTTGAGCAAGAGGCAGTCTAAAAGCCTGCCACAGTATTTTTTAAACAGACCATGCCAGATTTATGTTTCACACAAGATCTACTGTAAAACATAAAGCCTCGAGAATTAGCTCAGCCCCTTCCCCATTCCTAAGAAAATGAAACAAAAAACCCAAACAGTGAAAACTGTTTAAATTAGAAGCCAATAAAAATGATTTACCACAGTTCTCTTGGTATGCAGAGTCGTTACACTGAAGAGCACCTGTAACTGGTTTTCCTACAGCAGGGTCTGTAGCTTGACCAGTTTGGGACCTAACATCCTCCTCTGGTCCCTCATCAGCCCTTCAGCAGCACAAGGTCACCGATGACTCGGACCAGTCTGCACTACCGACATCGATAGCATGTTGTCCAGTAATCTCCGAGTCACCTCAGCTATTCTTATTTGTTCCTCTACCAAACACACTGCCAGGAAAATCCTCTTGTTGCATGAATTAGAAGCATCAAATAGAAACAAGCCGTTTCCCAGAAGCTTTCATACATTTCTGCCCCAACAAAGACTTTTGGCAGAGCACTAACTCACTGGCTGCATAGGAATCAAAAGAAATATCGTGGGCAAGTAAAAAACGTGTTCTTCCTGCAACTTTCTTTTTACTTGCTGACACTGATACTGATCCCTAGATTTAGTACAAAGCCTTTTCTTTGCATCTTTGCAACGTTTCATGCCTATCTGGGCATTGTTTTTAAATACTGTTTTGTAAATCCTGAAGCTTGTGCCAAGCATCCAGGAAGGGGATGCAGTTCTACCCTCATCTTTCAAATGCGCAGATGGACACTGACTTCTGGAACAAAACAGGAATATATATGACATTGGTAAGATGGGGTTATCTTCCTCATGGCAAAATTATTTGAATATTTTGCAGAAGGATGATATTTTCAAGTCTTGATACTACAGCAAATCCTACAACTAAAATTAGGAAGATGTTCTCTGCTTCCTAAGGCTTCTAGTCATACCCCTCTACCAT